TGGGCTGGGGGCAACATTGTAAATCAAGTTAAGCTCAGAATCCCACAGCCGAATGACTGTGCGAACTAATCAAACAATTTGCGGCCGCACAAACAAGCAAGCGCTGGCACGCAAATGCACGCATAGGCACGCCAAAGCAGGTTTGTGATCTTTCCTTTGTGTGTGCCAAATGATGACTTGAAGTCTTTCTGACGTGTCACCATGAGAGGGCATTACTCCTCCCTGACTGTCCGTTTGAATGTTATTTGCGTTTAAATGACTGCTTTTCAGGTTTGACGCCGATGTGATTGTTAAATTTGATGCGACAGCCGAGTCCCATGTTATTTCTTTATTTTATGGCAGACAAGATGCATATGAGGACGTGTCTGTACTATCTGTCTGTAAGCAGAATTCAAATAAGACAAATTATAGCTTGATATATTTTTGCCGAACAGAGCTTGCTGTAAGGACGAGTCTTTTAGTCTTGTGAGGTGTTGAAATGCCCGTAGACCAAGTCAGAGCAGAAATGCTTTACTTTCTTTGGCAGTACAGTGTCCTCATTCGCACTTATTCCTTCGAACGCTGGTCACTCAAATTCACTGCACTGCCTGGATCAAGCTTGTCAGCTTCATTCAAGGTTCTAAATTGTCTATCATGAGTGTGTCTTGAGTGGGCGACCTGTCAAGGGTGTACGCTGCTCTCTTCCTTAAATCTGGGATAGGTTGCAGCTCATCCGCCACCCTAATGAGGACAAGTTCTGTTAAAAAAAAAAAAAAAAAAAAAATGAAGTGGCCAGTGTGCTCACAGTAAGATGGACTCTTGATCGTGTGATCTTCTGCCACCTAGTGGTCACAATGGTGAAGCGAAACTAACGTGCTTCCATCCATTCGTTTTCTATCGTGCTTGTCCTCGGGGTGGTGGATGGCTCATAAAAATGAAAATAATAATTCATCCATTATCCGATCCACTTATAATCACAAGGGTCGCGGGCGTGACTTTTAGTAAAGTTTCCAAATGGGCATAAAGACGCGCTTTTGCGCCACCTGCTTGCACAATGGTGTCATGGAATTCTCCCTCCAAAATTTAAGAAGGCGTGTCAAAAATGCTTCATTTTAGTTGAGTTTTCATTACCGGTAGTTAAAAACAAACAAACAAAGCCAGGTACAATCCCCAAATGACCTTCCCTTTTCTGTATGGCCAAAAAAATAATACAGAAATAAATGCATTAAAAATAAGTCTCGATAGCTCACGTATGAATTTACTTGATAGAGAAATGGACGTGTTTGCTGTAGTTAGATTTGAATGAGTTACATAAATGTGTGTGTGTGTTTTTAAGCATTATTGTTTTTATTTTATTTCATTGACAAAACTGTCTTTTTAAATGCCATTGTAGTTGTTCAGTTAATTTTTGTTGATTCTCATGACCTTGACCTTGACCAGATGACCCAATTCTTGGCAGCTGTAACTCATCAATCACTATGTGTGGTTTTTAATCCCTTGTTGGATCAAAATCTTGACCCAACATGCCGGGGTCAAATTCTCAACCCAATGCGTTGGGCATAAATAACCCAGCATCGGCTGGGTCACTTTTGGACCCAACACTGGGTTAGCTATTTCACCAAATTTGCGTTACTTTTGACCCGGCAGTTTTAAGGCTGCAAGTATCTTAAAAAGTCCTATGAAAGAAAAAAAAATGTTCCATTTACAAATCTATAAATAGAAAGCATCAAAGTGGATGTTATAAATAGCAATTACTTTTATAGGATGCAACAAAGCCACGACACATGATGGATTGTGACGGCTGTAATGTTGCATGTCCTGTCAAAGTTTGCAGAGGCAGGCTGCTTTTTGTTGGGTCCTCGTGCCCGCTTTGACAGAGGAGACAAACGTCCTTGTAAACACTCTCTGTCATCGGCACACGCCGCCCTTTTATTGTCTCACTCGATTGGCTATCGATATTTGTTCGCTTCAGAGTGGAAAGGCCCACAATAACCGGTTTAGTCGGCGCATTATCGGATCACTTTACAGCGTCTGTGTAACATGAGAGCAAAGTCTTGTCTGCTCCCCCACATGACAAGAAGGGTCCATTTTTTTTTTTTACCACTTTTACCCTCAACCTGACCCCCCCACCACCCCCCCCCCCCCGCGCACGCATGGAGCATCAGCCCTCCAAATGAATGTTTAATGAGCCTTGAAGTCCTAATGTCGCCTAATGTCCTGTAATGATCTTCCCCGCTGGTGGCCACGCCCCGACGCTCGCGCTCGTCTCACGCGCATCTTCTGACAGTTGTTGTCGGCTGCGCGCTCCAACTTTGCTGAATGTGTGCCGGAGGCTGTTCTGCTCCTCCCGACGCCGCCCGCAACTCTCTACATGTCCGCTCGAACCATGAGCTTTCCTTTAAGAAAAACAGTCTCAGGTAGGCAGCCGGGTGTATTTTTAGCACCCTTGATTGTGTTTTTAGGGTTTTATTTTTAAAGCTGCATTTCAGGAGTGTCTTTTGAAATGTGTCGGAACTGTCCTTGGTCCTGAAATGTGCAGATGTGGCTCATCGTGGCTGTTTAGAGCTTTCTGATTACATTGTATTATGTTTTCTTCATATGATACACATCCAAAATGTGTTTTTGTAGCATTTAGGGTAAACTCAGCTTTGAAGGGCCTGCTTTTCTACATTTGGCATTTCATTTTTACGGCTAAAGAGCATAAATTGGTCGCTGTAAAAAGAATGAAGTAATACTTTTTGTTTTATGAGACACAAAGTAATTCAGTTCGGGGTTCGAGTCTGGACTCTGGCCTTCCTGTGTGGAGTTTGTGTCTTCACGCGAGTCCCTGTGCTTGCAGGCATTTTCTCCGGATACTCCGGACTTGCCTGTTAGGTTCTTTCAAGACTCAAAATTGTCTTTAACTGTAAATAGGAGTGTTAATTCCTGAAACACAAAATATTCCAGGGGTATTTTTCTAACCCACTCGCTGGGTTGTTATGGATTTTGAGCTGAATGAGTCAATTTTGACCGCGCAAATTGGGTCGAAGTTTGGATTTGGGTGGGCTGAACAGCTGAATCTGCTCAGCGTTTGACAGTTTTGTTGTGTACTGAAGTGAAGTCATTCTTAGAACATGTCACTCTCAAAATAGATGGGGCAAAAATTACCCAATTTGGGTAAAAAAAAGGAACAATCAACCAACTAGGGTCAATTTGACCCAACTCTCTGGGTTCTTTTGCATGTCGTTTTGTAGAAAGAAATCCTCAGAAATTGTACAAAACAACCCAATTTGACCCACGCAGTGAGTTGGTTCCTTTTTGACCCACATTGGGTTATTTTTGACCCAACTCTTTGTGGAGTGTTGAATGGATTTAGTGTTGGACGAGCCCAACCACTGAGAAATCCATCCAACAGTCCTGCTCAGGTTGCATGATCCACTCCTGGAAAATAGGTAGTAATGTAAAATTAATTTATAAAACATGCATTATGTTCAACCACAGCTATGCTGATAGCGTAGCAACCCATTTCTTTGTGGTCTTCATTTACCTGTGTGTGTGTGTGTGGGGGGGGGGGCAGGGGCAGTTTTTACTGCTTGCTGGATCAGAATCTTGACCCAAATCCTCAACCAAAATGTGCTACGTATCAAATAGCAATGCATTGGTTTGGTCATTTTGACGCCCAGCACTGGGTTAGCAATTTCACCCAATTTGAGTTACTTTTGTTTTGACTCTCTAGTTTTAAGAGTGTATTTGATTTGCTTGAGACCAGTCCAGGGTTACCCCATCTCCAGACTGAACTGGGACAGGCTCCAGCTCACAAAAAAATGAATGGACTCCATAATTTATTCCTGGGAGAGGAATGGACCTTACAGGAGGTTTTGGATGATGTTTTTTTTTCCAGCACAATAAAAATAAAAACCAACCAACATGTGACAACTAGTGAACTCTATGTTACATTTGAGTCCATTTTAACACATGAAGACGAGGCCGACTTCAAAACAGAAATGTTGGGAGAGGGGTGGAGGGAGTGACAATGATTGCAGTTTTTCAAAGAGACGCCAGAGGGAGTCATCGGTCAGTTAGTCAAGTTTGGGCTGTCAGTCTTGACTTGCTTGTGGAGATTCTTCTCCACGTCGTATGTGAGAGGCCTGCCTGTCAATCGATGGAGGGCTAGTCTGAAATAGAATTGATTATTGATTATAATATATATACATTATGGATGCCCGAATGCCTCACTATGAATCAGTGGATGTGCAGAGCCATTTCTCCTGTTAGCCAGTCACTGAAGAAACCTTTTTTTTTTGGCTAGAGATCTCACATGTATAATTGTCATGATGACGAAAGAAAGAAAAAGTCATAAAAGTCGTACAAAATAGGATTCATATTTTGATTAATTTTCAAGAGTCTCTCAAAGTTTCGAGGCCATTGAACGTATTTCTTATTCACAAAGCACAACCTGAAATGACATAAAAAAATAAATGGAGAAGCATAATGACTTTTCTTTTTTAGGGGGACTATCACATTGAATGTAAAATTTGAACATGCTTGAGATTGGCCAACGACCATTCCAGGTTGTGCCACGCCTTTCACCCAAAGTCAGCAGGAACAGGCTCATGTTCATCCGAGATGCAAATGAGCAAAAGTTTTTCAGATGTGGATGGATGGATTGGAAATGAATACATAAACGAAGAACGAAGTAATCCTTTTTTTAGTAATTGCTTCATATTTCAGAAGAACAAGAAAATAAAAATCACAAAACCAATTATGTTTAATCATCATTTGCTTGACCCTTACCTACTGTTCATTTCCCATACCGATAGTCGACATTAGAAAAATGAACTATGGATTTTTTCAAAATGCATTATGTATGTATGTTCCTTCTTGCTTCCTCTTCCATCGTTTTGAGATTCACCCAGGACTCTTCAAAGACCTATGGGTGCATGTTTCTGCGGGAAGCTGTGCAAAAAGTGTTTCAACTTCCCTCTTGAACACTGTAACCGCTCTCCCAGAAAAAAAAAATATATATTTATGGCATGTACAGTTTTTGCAGCTTCGAGATTACCCTCCTACCCCCGCCTCCCAAATTTCCCTTCATTTTTACACACACTAGTCAATCTAAAATCAATTTTAGAAAACAGTCAGTTTACACAAACTCTATAGCACCTGTACAAAAAGAATATTGGCAATTTTTCTTCATTTTGGATCACTTTAGGAAGAATCATCAAACTCTAGGGTAACAGAATAACATTTACAGTCAGCTGTATATTGCTCTCAAACATCAAAACTGCTCCAGTTTAACCCGAACAGTATGTTAGGGTTAACCTAAAAAGTGCAAGAACAGATAAACAGAAGTACAGTCTACATAATTCAACATTTCTGATGAACGTGCATCATCTACCTTCCCACCTTTCAGAATATTTCCCAAAGGATCAAATCAAATATGCCTTATTAGCTGATAATGACAATCACTCGCACACGTGCTGGCTGCGTCTGTGCACTTGCTGCGCCCCCCCCCCCCAACTCCAACTCCCACCCCCTTGCTGCTCATCCTGCGAGTTGGAGGTGGGATGCTCTCAGGCAGCTCTCGGCAGTCTGCGCCTCGCCTCCAACATGAGGCACGCACTGCTGCTACTTGGCCTCACCCCCCTTCAAGAGAGCAAAGAAAAAGCCACGTCACCGATAGGTTGACATCCATCCCAGCCGCCCCTCCCCTCCTACTTGGATCGTCATCGCGGTCAACTGCTGAAGCCAGGCGTGCTGCAAACAGGTGTTCGCCGGTGCGGCTGCACGTTGGAGCCTCGCTGGGCAGGAGAGCGCGTGCAGCTGCAGGATGATGCGAAGGAGCTTCAGAGAACATTTGCGGAGAAAATGATGTGGCTGGAGGGAGAAAGTCTTTGTCAGGATCTACTATGGAACGCTTTCTAGGAGAAGTCAATTCCTGACTTGTATATTTTCCGTTTTGATCCGGATCTCATTTGACTGTCTGAAGCTGCTTCACTGATATTTATTAAGCAAGCAGTGGGACCACCATCCCCGCTTGTGACTTGGACTCAAGACAAGAGCTGGTGTGTGTTATCATCCGGCTGCCAAAGTGGCAATGGCCGCAGCCATCGCCAGCTCCCTCATTAGGCAGAAAAGGCAGGCGAGGGAGCGGGAAAAGTCTAACGCCTGCCGCTGTGTCAGCAGCCCCAATAAGAGCAAAGGAAGCGGCGACAAGCCCAGCCGACTCAACGTGTTCTCGCGGGTCAAACTCTTCGGATCCAAGAAGAGACGCAGGAGACGGCCAGGTCTGTTGCGTAACATTTTCCTCAGCTAGCGGGGCAAACGTGAAATAGGATTCATTGATATGCGCGATGAATCACCCTGACAAAGTTGGGAGCAAAATAAGGGGAATCCCATCTGGTGTTAAGTGTCTACTTTGCTTCCTTGCCTCAGCAGAGGGACACTTTCAAGTGATGCCTCGTTTGTCACATTTTGTCTACATATTGAGAAAAAAAAAATCACACTGTATCCAACATGTTTAAGTACTTCATAGGCCGAATGTGTTGTCGTAATTTTGAAAATATTTCATTCTTTATTTTGGATGATTTAAGAAAGAAACAAGATTATTATTTTAGACATAGCAGTAGCTTTCACAACTTTTATTGGGCCAATCTATAAAGTAAACTTAACATTCCAAAAAAAAATCTCGTCATCCAATTAAAGAATATGTACCAAAATCCTCATAAACTGGTTTCAATTTACTGACAAATTTACTAACTCAGTATGAAAGCTTTGGTTGAACAAAAAGCGGACAATAGAACTCATATCTAACTAGAAATAGTTACGTGGTAAACAAATATTACTTTGGACAATTTGCTGGGGATCACGGCCTTCAGACATTCCTGCAGAATTTAAAGAAAAACAAGACAAAAGTCGTATCTACAAACATGCCTTTGCAGAGACATTAAGGTCCGACATCAACAGTGACCTGCTGGCCCGGGGGCCAACATGTGACTGTATCGGGCCACCTGAAGTTTACTGATGCTGGCCACCACAACTTGAGGCACGGTGTCCACCACTGAAAAAAAAAAAAACGCTTAATGTCGGACTCGATTATATTTCATGATTTTCAATATTAGTTATATTATATCCCAGGATAATAAACATATTTTAATGGGGAAAATGTGCCATGGGCCAATGAAAACTAGGTTGGACTTGGGGGCACAGTTCCAAAAGAAAAGAAAAAAAAATATCAGGAAAGGCCAGTACCGGTATTATATTTGGGTTCAATCAGAGGTAAATGGTGGTAGGTGTGTGCTACATCCCATTTAACATGAGCTTTGAATGTGACATGTTCATTCTGAACTCAGCTACATCACAATTATAAGAGGGTGTGCATACTTGTGCAACCACATTCATTTGAGTTTATTCAATCTTCCTCTCACACTTTTTCAGAAGGTCATACAGGTTGTAAGTAACATTAATGGTGGAAAAAGTTTTTAAATTGTTTATCTTGGTCTTAGTTTGGATGTCACAAAAACCCGGCGTTTGAACAGGGTTGTGTGTAAACTTTTTCGATGCGCTCCATTCACTGTGTTTTTAAACACTGATCCCATGGAACTCAAAAAGAGAGGCTGAAGAAATATGCCGATTTACATTGACATTGCATTAGAAAGTGAATCCAGTTCCATTTCTAGTCCACTTCACAGGTGAAACCACTTCGAGATGGAAATGCAACACAATGAGACCTGAACTGGAACCCATTTCCGTTCACTTTGCTCATGTTCGCAAGTGAACCGCTCCATTCACTTCAAGCCTTACATGTTGTTTGTATTCATATCTGACTGAAAATTGCTGACTCATCACCCCAAGTTTGTTTACCCAGAGCGTGAGAACACCTTCCAACTCGAGTACTTCTTTCAATCGCATCTCATAGAATCAATCCGTATCTATCCGTGACCGGGATAGGATCGCAAGAAAGCTTTTGGGGAAGGTCAGATGGGAGTATCAGTGAGATGAAAGGGCTGCTTAACAGCACCAGGCGGCTTCTTGTCTCTTGCGCCGATGCCCTCGCAAATGAAATGTTGCTTTGGTGACTACGAAGGTGAAAATGAAGAGTCATCACAACATATACACAAGAGCGTTCTCACATATCCCCTGCTCGTGTCCAAAACCCGACCCCCTTCTTCTGTTTTCCGCAGAGCCCCAGCTGAAGGGGATCGTGACCAAGCTGTACAGTCGACAGGGTTTCCACCTGCAGCTGCAGGCAGACGGAACCATTGATGGAACCAAGGAGGAGGACAACGGCTACAGTAAGTCGCAGAGGAACACGATGGCAACATGCCGACGGTGCAACTCACACTCAAATCGCTCAATAGCCTTTGCTTGCTTTTCGTTGTTTTAGAGAAAATACAAAGTACCTAAATATCACTTTGTTTCATGAAACCTGATACAGTGTGCAAACATGGACAACATACATGGATAAAATGAAAGTTGACCCGATCTCCAGTTAGTAACATCAGACATGTCAACCGGTAGGAAAAGTAAGATAAAACCTACTTATGATGTAAAAATCTTTCTATTTCAGTCACGAATGAGCGGCAGTGGCGTCTCATCAAACAACATATTTTCGACTGTCTTTTGGTTCAAACTATAGGGCTGAAATCAGCCTCTTAACATATGACCACTTGATAACTTTGCACGGATGTGTTTTTATTTGTCATGGCTCACGTAGCCGTACACTATCGTCTTCGCGTGTGTGCTAAAACTTTGGAGAAACGGAAATCGCCGTTAGCCCTTAGAACGGCGTTAGACATCCGGCAGCCTCAGAGAGACGCTTCCGCATACGTGATCTCTGACATACGACGGTAGCTAAACATCACAAAATACACATCATACGGAGATGGTGAGGTTTTTTATATACAGTATCTATATTTTTTAATCCCTACACACGCAAAGTTTTGCTAACCATGCGAGGTGAAAACGGTCAAGTAGGTTAGAAAGTTGAAAGCTAGCATGGCGGCGTTAGTTTAGCGTTGTGTGAAGCCCCCTCTTCCCCTCCGCTAATAAAGTAATGACTATTTAAACCGGAGCCTTTGCGATAACAAAATCACTTTGTCAAATCGCAATTATTTAGAAAATGCAATTCATCGTTCAGTTCGAGTTGGAACCCAACTTTTTTGTTTTGTGGGATATTCTTTTGACCCAGCCTTTTGCATTAAATACTTTACCCAAAACGTTAGGTCGGCCCCTTTTTGAGCCCCTTTGGGTTATTTTTTGACCCAACTGTTTTTAGAGTCCTGAAATTTCCAGATGGCGCCCCAGTGCAGTTTTTTTTCGCATGAGGTTTGTTCGTACCTGGATAAGCAGATCGGTCGCCCGTCATTGCGGTCCCGCGGAATGGGCTCACTCGATCACTGTCAAAACAGTTGGGTCCAAAATAACCCAATTTGGTAAAAAACAGGGACTGATCCATTACTTGGGTCAATTTGGCCCATCTCTCTATGTTGTTTTGTACGATGTAACCCAAACTGGGTCAAATTGACAAATTGATGTATGTTTGAACGTATTTATTTTTAGTGATTTTTTTTTCTTTTTCGTTTTTGTTATGGAGTCACGTGGGAAAGTCTTTGTGTGCGGCTCGCAGTTGTGTAAACCGATACATCCCAATCGCTGCCTCTCCACCCACCTGCTCGTTGTTTTCCAAGACAGATTAAAGAGCATATCAATGGTAAAGCAACAGCGCAGCCACTTGTCTGCTGCGGCGATAATGCAGCAGCAATGGGCCGCTTATAATTAGCTGTGCTTTTATATCAGTGCACTGTTTAATGAACCTGTCTGAAACATCCACTTTGCCGCCGTGCGATATTGCTGAGGAAAAGGATTTGCAATCTGCACTGAAATAACACCTCGTCCAATCTTCTGCCCAAATGAAATAGCAGCAACTTTTACGATGCAGCGAGCAGCAGGAGTCCCCAATCTCCAAAAGAAAAGAAAGCCATCCGGTTATGCCCGTCCACACCTGCATTTGAAAAAAAAAAAAAAAAAACTGGCCCCCGCAAAAGTTGTCAGGAGCAAATTAAAGAGTGTTGCTTGAATTGGAAAAAAGAGAGAGTGACTCTCTTTGCGGGACTCCAAAAATAGCGTTGTTAGGTGCTGGGTGCGCTTGTCTCCATGGTGACGGGGAGTGCAGTCCTCTTGGAGCTATTGGTGTCTTGTGATGGTGGGAGAGGACCTACTCAAACGCACACGCACGTACAAGCAAGAAGAAGGGCTTGATCCTTGTTATCATGACTCCCTTGACTTAGCTAGAACAAAGTCAGGAAGTGCAAATTATATCCCAATATAGCCCATCAATTTAGTTTAAAACAAAAAGTATTTTGTGTAGAGTGGTAGGCATCTGGGAAAGTGGCAGTTAAATGCCAAAAATCCAGATGCAAGCCAGGGCGAGAAGAGAAGCAAGTTGTCGATTGCACGTGCTTTAACCAAATGTCTCACTCTCACTCACTCACTCATCCCATGGCCTAAAAGGCCGTAGGGGTGCCATGGTGGACGTCTGGGCAGTCAGGGATCTTCAGCACTCTGGGTCCTACAACTTATTGGTAGAGGATGATTGGTTGAAATACATATGCATGCACTTCGTGAGTTTGTGGCACCGTAGGATGGAAATTGCTGAAGTATGAAACTTGAAGACAGACTCGGGCAATCAACCCAACCATGTGTCCTTCAGTCCCCCCCTTAGCAATCTCTTCACTGGCAAAGGTCAGCGTATAGTTAAGAGTCCCGCACCGGCTCCCCTCCTTCAGGGTTCTTAGGTGTTTTCCAGGAGCCAGGAAATAATTGGGCTCCCCCGTCTTGAGATTGAGCGGCTGGTAATCCATGTGAACTGAAGAGGACTGATTGTGTGCGTGCGTGTGTTGCAACATGAGCGGCGTAACCTCGGTGAGGAGGAGGGCATTTATAAAAAGACTCCTCGTTGAGAGATGTTGACATGTTACGCGTATGACAGAAGAGAAAACGGGAAGAAAACATGCTTCCGCTATTAAGGGAAGGTCGATTTCTTACACGCCAACATTGGTACAGTACAATTTGTCACATTTCAAGGCTCACTCTCTGTAAAATAACAGTGGGGTGGGGGTGGGGAGGGGGCTGCTTAAAGAGTCAAAGCCAACCCCTAATTAATTATAAATCATTCATTTCCTGTTTGGAAAAAGTGTGCCCCAATACCTTTTGCCTGACTCGTGTATTTTTCCGGTCTGCCCTCAATTCCATTTACCTCACAATTGTGCAATCGTGCTGTGTCGTGACCGTCGCAGTGCTGCCCCTCAGGAGCAATCGGGTCTTCGTATCTTGCTCGAGTCCAGTTGGATGTGCAGACAGGCCAAGAGACGGGTATCGAACCCCTCGGCTCGCCAAGACTTGACAGTTGACAAGCCAATGCGGCTTGGTGGTGTCCTGCGCCGTTTAGGTGATAAGGATGAATGTAATGGCCCATCTAAAAAGCTGCTGCGGTGCACTTTACTCAGAGGCGTCTAAAGACAGAGACCATTCTCAGGACATGCTGTGACCTACAGCGCAACTGATATGAGACGTGGGAATGGACAGTGGAACACATAGCCTTGAGTTAAAAACAATCAATTTAATAGCAACTAAAACCCATCAATTAGGCAATAACATATTTCATGATTAAAAATGAGTAAACAAAGACTTTCTTTTAGCAAATGAGTTGGGAACCTCATGCTACGCATTTTCCACTGGTCTGAGTTGTAGCTATCCAACATACTGCAAAATTGAGAAACTACTGCAGCAGAAAACATTTAGCTAAAACCACAATTGAACATGCACTTCTGATTTCAACTCCTGCTACATGGATTACATTTTTCACTCTTCCTTTTTAAACATGGAGAACTGTTTCATTGTTTATTTGTTCGTTTTTTTTTTTCCTTCAAAACAGTTCCACTATTCTTTATGATCCCAAATTGCCCATTGCTGAGAATGGATTTGACAATGTAAGTCACATTGGGAATCATGAAAATATGAGATGGTGTTCCACAAGGTTCTGTCCTAAGACATATCACATTCTTTTTTTTTTCTTTTTTTTTTTTAACATAGAAGTTAAAAGATGATAAATATTTTAAAAAAAACCAAATCTCTGTAAATTTGATGAATGCATTATTTCATAGCTCATAGCATAACTTGGAATGGATTTGAAATTATCTTTGTGGTGAATATCCCCATTCCAGGTGAGAGTTTGAGGAAAATGATGCGGTTTTAATAACGTGGCTACACTTTTGTACATATTTCTACTTAACTGTGATACCTGTAATCACATTTTAACCATGTATAGCAGATGTACATATTTTTTTTCGGTATTTTGAGGAAGAACGTGTCGCAAATTAACATTTTTTGTGTGTGTGTTCAGAGGTATTGTACTGTTTTTTTGTTTTGTTTTGTTTTAGAAAAACAAAACTCATGGTGCGACTGTTATATCATTGCTGAGAGCAGCACTGTTTTGGGAGCGTTTCCAGAAAAGAACCCACAGCAGCGAAGTTTCACTGTTTGTTGTCTGCATTAGCAAAGACTATTGGTGGCGTTTTGTTTCCTTCTACCCAGCTTGCGGGTTCCCTGCCAGCATTTTATGGAACACAGACGCTCTGATACAATACAAGGCTGATATTAATTAGATGTACCTCATTGACCAGCGAGGCTGCTGCTGCCGTCGGCTGTCTCAGCTTGCACGCTTCACACTACGTGACACAAACCTTGCACACGAATGTGTGCGCGGGTCAGCGTCTAAAATGCAAAAGGAGGATTTGCTGTCTCTTTATTGTGTTCGTTTTGAACTAGGTTGATCGTCATTTTGTGAACATGCGTCAATAGTAACGTGTTCATGACACTTTTTGAAGCTTCAGCAGCACCTTTTGCATTCAGGGTCATAAACCAGCGACATGCAATAAAGTCTTTAATGATGCCTTTTAAAGCACGAGTAAGCAGTAGTTGTATTTGCGTTGGCCTCGGGGCTGTGAAGTGTAATTTGATTTTATACTGCTATTGTAAATCCAGATTGACTACAGTGATTGCATGTTGAAATTAGTTTGATACTCGCTTGCTACTAAACTATGAAAGAAGGTTATTTTTTTATGGGTGAAGACATGCTCTGTTTACTTGCTGGCCATGAAAGGATTTTTTTTCCTTCCCGTTTTTGCCTTTATGCAAGGATTGTTAAGAGCCGACAAAAGCAAACTTCCTTGGATCAGTTCGGGACAAAACGCCAGGCAAAAATCACTTCTGAGAGAGAACATGAACTAAAGAGGGTAAAAAAACAATGAGGATGCAGTTAAAAGTTAAACGACCATCATTTTTATTCTTTGTTTTTTACATTATGCACAACTCTCATTTATTGTGCAATAATCTAATTTGTAACGTGTTGGTTGCATATTTTGATGCATTTTTATGCTTTAGAAAACATTTATGTCTGAATTTTGGGGGAGCTTGGAACGGATTAGGGCATTTACATGGAAAACGCGTCTCTACTTACAAAAATCTCTGGTTAACAAATTTCTTCCAGAACCAATTAATTTCGAAAGTAGAGGTACCACTGTATTTTAAAAAGTAGGATGACTTGATATTTTTTGGGGGGGTGGTGGGGGTCTGAAGAATATATAAAATGCTTTTTTTTTTTGCATTGGTTTTTAAAGGATGAATACAACCTGAACTGGAAACTTCAATCGAAGTCCATCACATGTGCTCTATTTGCTTTTCTTGTGTGTATCTCTCCAGCGATGTTCAACCTTATCCCTGTCGGCCTGCGAGTGGTGGCCATCCAGGGGGTGCAGACCAAACTCTACCTGGCTATGAACAGTGAGGGCTACCTGTACACTTCGGTGAGTGTTCGTCCAAATGCATCATTTGTTGTTGGGACTGAAAACAGGTTGCGTTCGAGGACATCTGCTGCTTGGCGTCAACTGTACTCTCCTTCGGACAGTTTTACAAATTAACATACTGTACGTCACGCAGGACTGACAGATGGACTTTATTGCGCGTCGGGCTGTTAAATGTCGTCTGCCGTTATTAGCACAGCCATGCTAATGAAATCCGACGTTCTGTGCTCACGCTGTGTTGGCGTTTGTCCCTCGAATAACGTGGCAGCTGCTGCTGCGTGTTGTTGTAAACAATGTTTAAGAGGCCAAAGTGGAATATTCCAAAAACATTTTTTATTGCGTTGACTTTGATTAGGGAACGCTTTTTCAAATGGATTAAAAAAAAAAAAAACAGCAAGTGACGACTCAGAGCTTCTCCCCGTATTTTCAGTTTCAGCACGTGTAATACGTTTGCCCAGATTTTACAATCTCATTTCATTTATAAATTGAGACAAGATCATTTCCATATTTTGTCCCTCTGAGGTGGAAACCTTTAATATCCAAATATGGTCATGTTTACATTTTTTGCATTGATACTGTTGGTGAGTCTCAATGTTGTCTTGGTGCCTCTTGCCCCTCACTCTCCATGCTCATCATGTCACCTCAAGATTGAAAGTCTGGATTTTATTTATTTATTTTTTTTTAATGTTTGATACACATAAGGTCGTTAGCCTGTTTGGTTAAAAATTAATCGCTGTGATTCTCCAGTGAAGAAGGATCTGGTCAGCCAGGAAGGTATGTTTGTGTGCAAATTCATTTCTATTTTTTTATGCTGCTTTGCAAGATTATTATAGTTAATGACAACTAACAAAATAACTAGAATTAGCAAAACATGTTCACTTGACAAAATACCGTAAAAGCAATTTGTATTTATTCATTTATTGTCTCGTCCGCATGTGGACGAGACACAACACAAACATGCACTTGACAGACAATCCTCGTAGTCAAATTAGTAAAGATTGTTCTGCACGACTAAAGGTCTCACTTGGCAGCGTCAATCTTTTACTGAAACAAACAAGCACATTTACCTTGTTTTGTTTCTCTTCTATTTCCAGGAAATTGTTGCCTTCAGGCCCCCCCCCCCCTCCCCCACACACCTCTGACCTTCTCACTCTGAGGTGTCAATGCAATTTGGCCTCTGGCAGTCATTCGATTAGAGTCACTTGCATTTAAAAGTTAAATGTTGTACAAGTAAAGCAATTAAATCCAAGGTAGTGCAAAAGTGTCCGTGAGCTAATGACACTACGGCACATTTATTCAAGGCTTTACAATTGTGAGCAATTGCTTGACAAATTAGCACACCAGTGGGGAAAATATCACGCTAATCGCTACAGACTACACAATCTGAACCCCCCCCTCCCGTACTCCACAGTGACATACTGTATTTATATCTCAGCACACCAGGAGTCCATGGCTCCCAGTGAGTAAGATTCAATAATATTTGCTGAGTGTGTCGATAAAACAACGTATGCAGCATAATGTAAGATTAATGAGATAAAAATGCGAGCAGTGATGAATAAGATTGTTGTTGTTTTTTTTTCCGCTCTGATTTTGTTTCATTTGTTCAACTTTGTACTACGGACTAGTTTCATAAATGGCTTAAATGCAGTGGCATCCAAAGATATGAGCCGTAGGCCATCTGATTTATCTGATTTATTTATTTATCCACGAGTGTCGTATGGTGGCATCAAGCCGTTTCGTGCCATTCCCAATTGAAGTTTAGTGTCACACGTAACATAAAGCAAAGAGAATTGTGGATTTAAAAACAACATATCTTGGTCTTAGGAAAGTCTGCATATCTTAATGCTGACAAACAATGCAAAACGCCATTGACAGGCTCATGAATATTTTCAGTGGCAAGGTTGCAAAGCTTTAAGCAACGGCTATTTGAACACAAGTGGTGCATACGCCCAGTACTGAGTTTACTGAGTAGCTTACAGTTGCGAAACTCTTCGTTGTTTGTCTGCATTTCTATTATATTGCACACACCAGTCGGAGCTGCACTGTATTATTCATGGTGCAAACTGTTTAATTCTTTCCGTTCGATTTAATTATCATGATTTGTTTTTGTATATTACATTAATAGACTGTGATTTCCCTCATTAAAAACATAATACAAACTGACTTTTTTTTTCCATACTCTACAGCGCTGTGAAATACTGTTTGCCTCCTTTCTTCTGTGCATATTTATCACATACACAGGTTTCAGTTCATCAAACCGATTTTAATATTATATGAACTGATGAACTGAAACCTTTTGTATGCGATAAATTTGCAAAGAACACAGAAATCAGGAAGGGGGCAAATACTTTTTCACGGCACTGTAATTTATTGACATGTCACAAAATTACATACAGGGCAGACTTTGTGACGAAGGCATTGTTAGAATATCTCTTGGACGTGAGTCATGAACACTTCTGGAGTTCCGCAGGATTCTGTGCTAAGTCCTCTTAGAATTGCCACTGGTTCAATTTTGTCAAAAAAAGCAAATCGGTCATCTTGGCTTGTGAAAGTGAAATCTTGACGGTTAAGATAAAGCAAAGCTAATATTTTGGATCAGGGGCAGATTACATCTGCATACAGTAGTGTATTATAGAAACGAGACAGTGCCTATGGAATTGTAAAATGAATTTACCAGATAAAAATGAATAATTCACATAAGCGCAATTTTGTTTTTGGGCCATTTAAAATGGATAAACCTTTAGGCGTCCATGTGTAGCTATTTGCAACATGTATGTTTTTGGCACATATGATGTAGGAGCATACGTGAAGTAAAAACAGCAAGCGCATGAAACAACATGAGCCGTGAGAAGAGCACATGTGTGGGAGAGGTAGAACGCACCAGTGGAAATGTATGCATCCATCAGCATCAATGTGTGGGTGAAGAAGCAGCAATTAATAAGGATTTCACTTTACTCCTGCATTCTCTACCTTTGGTAACAAGTCGCTTTGGCACTCAGTGTAAAAATGCAAACTGATCAGGCTTAATACGTTTGAGATCTTTCCGTATTTTTGTTTGATTATGAGCTAAGTGGTGCTTAGCGCCCACCTATTTCACGTGGTGTTATTAAGCTCTTGTCATCTTTCAATTACGCTGACTCACCGACGCTCCCGTCTGGTCTGGACCGCAAAATAAAGAGTGAAGGCCCCCTAGATAAGAGAGATTGATGCGGTTACGTGGTTCAGCATGACTGTGACGCATGATCACCGTTTGACCAGGCCCACTTTGAAATCGAATCCAGTTAAATCCGTCCAAAACATTTGTTTGCGTTGCAAGGTAAAATTTAAAAATGTTAATTTAAAATTTGCACTGTGAGGTGGGCGCGCTAAACCAGCGGTGTCAAACTCATTTTTGTCACGGGCCACATTGTAGTTACTGTTTCCTTTTGAGGGCCGTTCCGATTATGAAACCAAAAAAGAATAACGATTTAGCAGCAAAGACAGCAAGACAACAATGGGCACAACAACAGCTTCGTCAACAGCAGTAATAGTCCCACGGTGACAATTTCGGTATTCAACTTTGCATGTCATTTTATACCGTAGCGTTCTTTTTCAACGTTCATTTGGAATAGTTTCAGACCGAAAATTGTTTTGTCGGCTTGGACCCCCTCCCGCCCTTTGTGATACGTACCGTGTGTATTTAGAGCGACGTCAATACAGCCTCCCGACTTCATTCCAAAACAAAAGAGTGCATCGTTGCGCTTGAGTAGCCTGGCCTTGTTTTTCCCGTCCTTTTAAATATGTACTTTGCTCACATCCAGGCCTCTTCAACCATACGAGCTCAATACCTTTGGTAAATAACCATCGCTGTTACGTTCCACTCCAGTGAGCTGTGTCATTTATGCATGTGTTGGCTTGAATGTGGATTGTGTATGTGAGGGGGGGGGGATGTTTTTTTTTTTCTTTCTTCAATCTCACCAAAGTTCCACTTCCATTCACCACATCTGAGACCTTGAATTGGAAAAACAGACATAGCAAGGTTTATCTTTCATTGTTTGTCTAGAATTGCACACGGCGCTGATTCCCGTGGCGCATTTGGTGTCGTTTTCTCCTGGATGATGTGGCAGCCCAATGCACACGGGGCGTCGCTCGCCATCGATTTAGATTCGTGTTGTGAAAGATCATCCGAGCAGCCGATATCTCCTCCGAGGAGATCAAATCCATTATGCAAGTATTTCTACTGCTGCTGATTGGATCAGGAAAAACATTACTGGCCAGTGATTATTCCACAGAAGGGAACATAACGCGGCCTTAGAGTGGATTATAATTGATAGCGTTTTCTTGACAGGACCACAGAATCCTCTTAACGGTTTCCTGCTAAATGCTAATTGTGTGTTAGAGCAGCGCCGGCAATGCAAAAGAAACAGGAAGCGACATTGTAATTGACTTACGATGACTCATACTGCAAGGTTACGTTGGTGCGCCTGCAGTGACCAAAAAGATTCGAATGTTGGAGAAATGCCACTGAGTGTTGATGACAACAAGCTAGTGCAAAGGGGGAAAAATAGCGGCAGTAGCCACCAATGAGAGGACAGCAAGTAGGACAGAAAAGGTTGAAAGCGAGCTTCAGGACACTTTTTGATTCAGTGCATGTGTATGTACACATGTTGCATTTTTGTCTTCATTAAATGTTCGCTAAGCCCTTTGTTCTACAGTCGTGCGGTAATAGCCATTTGAAATGATATTGAAGTGTTTTGGGGATTGTAATTTGTGGTCCGGTAACAGTTTACACTAATAAGAAAAGCAACGGATATTTGAACACAACACTGCAAGCAGGAAATAATTCAACTTTCACAGGCATATATTCTTTATCCTTTGTGAAGAACAGCTGTAGTTTACTAAGGATCCAAAGACCATCTCCATGTACAGTACATATATCCATATGCCAGGGGTGTCAAACTCATTTTTGGAGTTACGTTTTTCCCTCGGCGTGCCGTTACGACAGTGACACCGAATAAATCATCTCTTTGCATAGCTTGTACACAATCAATTGATGGATGACTAGTTTTAAAATCACTCAACTCAACTATTTGTTTGTTAAATTAGCTATAAAGTTTTATTTATTTATTTTCCAGACAATGGTCTTTTTTGGTGAAGTTTCTCCTCAACTCTTTCCTGGCTGACAGTTTCCGCTGTCACTTCAGCCTTCATCGGAGCTGTCACTGCTTCCTTGTGACGTGTCTTAAAAACAGCTATTGGTTTGTCGTTTGTCGTAAAGAGGGTCACGAAATTATTGCAAAATCTCAACGTCATTTAATACACATGACAATTTCACATTTCAGTACAGATTTTCGCAAGGATCATGCAAGTGGACACGCATGATTTTCTTTTGCGGGCCACATAAAATGATGTAGCGGGCCAGATCTGGCCCCCGGGCCTTGACTTTGACATCCGTGCCATATGCCTTTTTATACTGCCCCCAGATGGCCAAGATCTTTACCACAGAACGAGCGGGACAATGTCCATTCAGATAAAGCAAAAAATGTTGACTTTTTTTCCCAATCTTTTAAATTAAGTCAGGACTGTTTTTTTAAGTACGTACAATTTTATCGACTTCTTTTTTTGTCATTATCAAAGTTTTTAAATTTTTTTTTTCCTCAAGGATGTTGGAACTGACTTAATGGCATGCTTCAATGGGGAAAATTTTGAGACACAAGCATGGTCCCAGAACAAGTTATTATCTTAAGACGCCACTGTGACAGCGCTATAAATGTTTTCCATGCAACTCATCTCCATGATAAATCAAGTGCTTTGCCTGGCATTGATGTAAGCGCAGCAGCATTTCATCATTTGGCTGCGGCCCTGCGAGACTTTTTATTTAAGCATCTAGTTGGTGTAATGGACTCATTAAAAGTCCATCTCAACAAAGCAAACAAACTTGAGAGGGAGGGAAAGCACTTGGCTGATATTATTACGATGGCTATACTGTCCTGTCCTCGTTAATATGCCCTCGCCTCATCTGGCACTCGTGGACGTAAGATTTTTTTTTTTTGCCCCCTCCACTGACAGACTGGTTCAGCGAACAAAAGACGGCGGAAGGCGACGCTGCTGGCATATGTTCAAAAGAATTTCAATGTTTCTGCCTATTACGGTGCATCTCGAAATAGAAATGGTGGTCCCCGCCATTTTGGCCCCTCCTTGTGTCAGTCGGAGCAAATGTGTCGCCCTTAGAGCCAGTCCAAAAGGACGGAACTCACCAGCAGCCCGTCTTGGCGCCTATCGGACCTGGATATGGATCTGTTTCTCAATTGGCACTTTTTTTTTCTTTTGTGCAATGGTGAAGGGAAGCAGCCAAATCCACACGAGCTAATTACTCGAGATAGAGCGGCACGACTGGCTCGAGAGCCGAGCAGCCTTTTGCTGCGCTTCCAATCTCCGCTCGTGTGTGACCGATATGGATGCTGCCGAACATCTCCAAGAGCGGCAACGGAACCGAATTTTGAATGAAGATGAGATGAGAAGGGACGCAGGCGAGTTTTGACTGGAAATATAGCATCAGTCAACCAGTCCAAACAATTTTGGAAAGCAAAGGCTGCAATTACAGGTAGTTACTGATGCTTACCAATACTGCAAAGCAAAATAATAAATAATCAAGTTGACATGATTGTCACCTTTTTTTTTTTTGACGATTGTAACATTTTGTCCATCCATCCACCCATTTTCAAATCCGCTTATCCTCACAAGGAATGTGGGAGGAAACCGGAGTACCCGCAGAAAACCCACGAAACCAGAGTACCCGCAGAAAACCCACGCAGGCACGGGGAGAACATGCAAACGCCACACAGGAACGCCAGAGCCGAAATCGAACACTGCACCTCTGCACTGTGAGGCGGACGTGCTAACCAGTGCCGCCATGATAACATTTTATACTTGATCTTTTTCCATTTTTTTTCTCCATATCCTATTCAATTCTATGTAACACCTGAAGCGCTGCTTTTAGAAATTTCTGTAAAATCAATCAAGGCGAGTTGTAAGTGGATAACACGTGAGGTGTACGATGGCCATTCTTCTTCTCATGTTCTTCTTGAGCGAGTCCTGCTTTGGATTGGAATGTTCCAGAAAAGGCACACAAAGACGAGGAGTCACACATTCATCTTTGAACCTCAAAATCCAAATATATTTGACTCAACCTTTGACTCAAAGTCTTGGAGTATCTTTTTATTTGAGCGTGCAGTAAATTCAACCCTTGGCGACATCTAAAAGAATAGTCTGTGAAAGGATGAAAGTAGGCTTCATTTAAGGCAAGTTGCTAGTTACCGAAAGCTATTTTCCTCCCCAAGCTGCTCATTAGAGGACTTGATCTTTTTTTTTTTTGCTTTGCTCTTCTCAACAGAGCATACCCGTCCATACCCACTAGACTACGTAAAGAGCTCCGAGGGCGCAGGATAATGGCAGTGCTGTTTATACCCATTCTATTGAGCGACATCTATACCACCCTTGCGTGTAAATTATGAAACAATCCGTTGTCGTGAGTATAATACCGCCGGTGTTGAAGCTTGGCAACGTGAACACAGTGAATGCATCAGTCCAAAAAAAAAAAATGTTAAGTTTTGTTGCCGCAAGGTTCTCTAGAGCTGGATTTTGGCGGGAGCCATTCTGCGCAAAAAGTGTCTCTCCTCCCGTGAGGGCGCGCTAAAACCAGATTAGACAAGTAACAGATTTTTATTGTTTGTTTTGTGCTTTGCAAGGCCTTCAATAAAACCGAAAAAAAAATCCATCGACTGTTTCTCCACACTGCAAAAAAAAAAGTGTGTTGATCTGACTCACTGTTATTTTGTCAAATAGATGAACACAATAGAATCATCTGGATAGAGATCATTGTTTTTAAAGCAGATGTTTGATTTTATTTCATGCAACCCTTTGACAAAATACAATTAAGTCAATTCACCACATCTTGTTTTTCAGTGTATCTCACACTTCTTGTGACAAATGAATGCAAGAGTTGCTTCGTTTGTGTCACTTGAGTCACAAATGAGACCGCCTTTTCCCCGAACTTGGCATTTTCAGGGTATTTTATTGATCTTCAAGTTGACACACGGCTTCTTGGCCAAATAAACGTATTAGGTCTTGCCCGTTCTTATTTTATATGTCGATGTTACTGTGCTTTAGTACAATTTTGACAAAAGGTGAGTATGCCATTCAAGCCACTTGCTCCTGCTTTTGAATGATCTGATAACTGAAGTTATTTGTTAGCTAACTTTTTTTTTTTTTTTAATATAAATGTTGCACCTTTCCCGCGAGTAATTACCGCCAAAGATTTTCAACGTTGTTGATCATCGTTTTGAGAAAATTCTATTTCCTGAGCCTGGATGTAAGTGCTTCAAATGCTAATCCTCCAACAACTTAAATAGTCTCAGTGCTTTTACTGTCATTGATAAGAACATGAATCAGCATTTAACGTAGTTCACCGTTTTGACCGTTATTGCCGTTCCACACATTTTCAAGACATTTGCGACACTCTCCACTTCTTTTGCACTGAATCATACTCCGCCAACAGTGACTGCAGTTTATCAAAGCTCATGTGCTGCTCTCAGTTGTGCGCATTCGTCACCATGAGGAGTGAAACCTTAAAGGCAAAAGGTTTTGTTTGTTTGTTTGTTTGTTTTTTTGTTAGTCCTTAGTCACTTTTCAATCCAGGAGGTGTTAAAATGCTCTATGTAAAATGATAGTAACATCACCCGTACATGTTAAAAATTGCATATCTATGGTAATGTTTGGTTTTAAACAAAAGATGCAGAAATGTCATATGAAGATAAACGATCCTGCAAAATGGAAAAATTCAGTGAGCCTGAATCATAGCGAAGTAGCCATGCATAATTAACAGCTGGGAGCCAAATAAGAATGTGGTCATTATCTGCACTGTATGTTTTATTAATGCTCATCTGTATCTGTCATTTGTTTTATCTGCGCTGTAACGCGCTGCATTATTCTCCGCTGTAAAGGCAATGAATATAGATTCTCGAAAGGCAATAGCTTTAATGCAAATGTGTGCGTGTATTATATGATGTAGCACAATTCAATGCACTCTCAATTGATTGCTTTTCGGCTGTTTGTGCTTAGACAGGCTTGTTAAATTGTGCTGCTCCCCCCCCTCCAGGAACACTTCACGCCGGAATGCAAATTCAAGGAGTCGGTGTTCGAGAACTACTACGTGACGTACTCCTCCATGATATACCGTCAGCAGCAGTCAGGCAGGGGCTGGTACCTTGGTCTGAACAAGGAGGGAGAGATTATGAAGGGCAACCACGTCAAGAAGAACAAGCCGGCGGCCCACTTCCTTCCAAAACCTCTGAAAGGTAACAAAATCTGCCCGTCAGATATCTTGTGTAATGTCATGACAACAGTTCAATTTTCCCTCATAAATTTGGTTGAAAACAGAATTTTTACGATCAGCCATTTTGGAGATTCACGTTGGCTATACTTGTAGTTGTGCCAACGAAACAATCAAAAACTAAATATAGATAAATGTCCAAAGGGTTTCCGACATATGCATTTTATTCAACGAAGTTCCCCAACTCACTTCAACTTAGTTCATTTGCACAAGATGCGCAAATGGTAGCAAAGAATTGCTGGAGCGCCTCAACTCACTTCAATGTAATTTCCCTTCAATTACATGGCACAAGATGTTGACAAAGCCCTACATTTATCCAAATGAACTTCGACCATTCACTTCGACATAGTTCCTTGGCAACAAGATGCCACAGAATGCTGGCAAAGCACTATTTTTTTGTCCGATTGAATCCCCTTAACTTACCTCACCATAATTCCTTGACACGATGATGCCACAAGATGTCAGCAACGTGCTACTTTTGTCTCGAACAACCTTCTCAACTCACCTCAACATAGTTCCTTGCCACCCAATGCCACATTGGGGTGGCTGGAAAGCAATACTTGCAAAAGCCAGTGAAAGGGGGAGTTTTTCAGCAAATAACAGACGATAGGTTCCAAAAATAATCTGCAAATGCCAAACCATGAAAATGTGGAGGTTGACTAGACTGCATCATATTCGCAAAAGGACGTTCGTACAACAAAATAAAGATCACTGCTCCTTTATGCAAGTACTGCAACAACACATTCCACAATCATGTTTTCCCTGAAAATGCTGTTTCACCATAAAATGATATAATGAGCCACACAAATGCCATATTCATCCACAATCTCAAGTCATCAAATAGCAGGATAATGTATGAAAAGATCCCACTAGTAATAAAGGTTGTGAACTACAGTATAAGGTTTGAGTGTGTAATGGGCTACTTATCCAACAAGGGCCTGATTCATCCATCATATAAACATCTACATCCCGATTGAATGACCTCCTTTGTCTAAAGAGCAAGTTTTTTTGTTTGTTTTTTACCGGGGGTCATAAATAAGTCATAAATCAAACACTAGATCTTGTTTTGACATAAGCAAACCTTTTACCGTCTCTTATGGGCGTTTTAGGTTAAATTATTTTGTGGTGCCCCTTCCACGTCTGTGCGCTTTGGTCAGTCTCTTCTTGGCCGGCCCCTCATTAGGAATCTGTGTGCGTTCCCCTGGGGACGGCTGTAATAGCCTTTCGCTTTCATTTACCCGGCCATCTACGGGGTCTCAAATACACTTAAGGACCAATGGTCACGGAATGATTTTGTTGCTTTTTATGCTGAGAGAGGGCGACGTGAAGAAAAGACACACACTTAGGTGACGTGAAGGCACAGAAGTGAGTAAAGAGTCATTTGCAGAAAATGCTGAATCTTCCGTCAACTGTCTTCATCAGTACAAGTTAATATTTATCACCGTTCCGGCCCCGTATCGCTAACGAGACGTGTACCCATCGTCAATAGTCTCGCGGTGAAATGCATACGTCGAGTGATGTGTTTCCACAGTGTTGTCAGGATCGCTGCTCTCACCCGAAAATGCTGGGCTAAGTGAAGTGTGTGAAGGAGCAAGTCTGCTTTTTTTCCGCCGCGGCCTCCCTTTGGACTGAACATCAAATAGCATTCCGTTGTCAACATCCTGAAACCAAACACTGCGGACTTCAGATTACAGCGATTTTGGTCTCCAACTGGCCGCTGAGATGCAAATTGGGCAAAATGCTGCACACGCAGCAGAGGCAAAGCACATGCAAGTGCTGCATTTCTAATGGCGGTCTGTGAATATAGGATTTGTTTTTAAGTGCAGCACCAACTTGATCTGTTGTGACATCTTGATTCAGCACTTTGCGGCCAGGCCGCTCGCGCAGGGCCCTTTCTGAGCTCATCGCTCTTTGGTTCCTGCACAGACGTTATGATTCAATCTGTGAATCACAGGAACTTGTTTTCATGAGAATTGAGATATTTTTAAAAAAGCGCTTCCAAAAAAGCATCTGTTAGAACATTCTTTAACTGTCTCACAGTAGCCACATTTCTTTGTAGGTTACCAGCCAACACGTTGGGGGTTAGGTTAGGATTATTGGTTTGTTATTATAGTTTGAGAAGGGTTTAGTTTGGGGTTATTGTTAAGTTTAGTGATTGATGGAGTGACCAAAGGTTTAGTTTGAGGCTTGGGGTTCGGATTTAGATTGGAGTTAGCATTGGCGTTTCGGTTAATTTAGGCTTTTGATTTGGGTTAGCATGTTAGTTCGTTTTAAGGTTTAGATTTTTGGTTTAGATTAGAGTTAAGAGTCTAGCCTCATAGGGATTGGATTCAGGTTTTTGTTCAGACGTAGGTTTTAGTTTAAGGTCAAGGTTTTGTATAGGGTAGGGTTTAATCACTTCAGATTTCGCTTTCTGTTTGCATGTTAGCTCATGTTAAGTTTTATACTTTTGGGTTAGGTTAGAGTTAGAGGCTAGCCTTAGGGGGTTGGATTCAGGTTTTTGTTCACAGTTAGGTTTTAGTTTAAGGTCAGGGTTTTGTTTAGGGTAGAGTTTATCACTTCAGTTTTTGGTTTGGTTTAGCATGTTAGCTCATGTTGAGTTTTATGCTTTTGGTTTAGGTTAGAGTTAGAGGCTAGCCTTAGGGGGTTGGATTCAGGTTTTTGTTCAGAGTTAGGTTTAAGTTTAAGGTCAGGGTTTTGTATTGGGTAAGGGTTTATTGCTTCAGATTTCGCTTTCGGTTTGCATGTTAGTTCGGGTTCAGGTTTATACTTTTGGTTTAGGTTCGAGTTAGAGGCTAGCCTGAGGGGTTTGGATTCAGGTTTTTGTTCACAGTTAGGTTTTAGTTTAAGGTCAGGGTTTTGTATAGGGTAAGGGTTTATTGCTCCGGATTTCACTTTCGGTTAGCATGTTAGTTCGGGTTTAGAGTTTTAGTTTAGGTTGGAGTTAGAAGGTAGCCTCAGGGGGTTGGCTGCAGGTTTTTGATCAGAGTTAGATTTTAGTTTAAAAATGTATCTGAATCCAGATGATTTCATTTCGTGTGACCACCTGATGAAATAAAATAGAATAAATTCAACAAAAACTTTTTTTTCTCACTTCATTTCTGTGACATCACATTCACGGCAGCGACTTCTTGAAATGTTTCCTAATCAACTACGTTCCTCCCACTTTTTCGCACAGTGGCCATGTACCGAGAGCCGTCCCTCCATGACCTGACGGAATTCTCCCGCTCCGGTAGCGGCACGCCCACCAAGAGTCGGAGTGCCTCGGCGATGCTGAACGGCGGCAAAGCTGTGAGCCAGAACGAGTCGACGTAGCGCCGCCCGCCGGACTCCCACCTTGAAACCTTACCTCCAGCAGAGCGTGAATCCGAGCAGACCCTCTCCTTGTATCAGCGGTTCGGCACTTGCTGCAACATACCACACATTAACACCTAGAAAACATCAATAACTATAATTAAAAAACACACACACACTTAGCGGCATTTATCATGGTTTCCAACACTTTTAACAACAGCATTAATAGAAAGACGTCATGGCACATTCACCATTCTGAACACTTTGGGGCTAATTTATTATCGATTTACTCACCACTTAGCTCATTTATTTTTGTCTCATTTTCCTGCGCGCACCATAACATCTCTGAGCTCATGTAGGCTACAAGCACTTGTGCGTCCGTCAGACAAGGGACAGGCAGCGAGCGGTCATTCAGGGGAACCTTCGGGGCTGCCGGCGTACAGTCCGAGTCCTGATCTCTCTCATATCCATGCTTCTGTGAATACAAAGCCTATAAACTCCCTGGCCCGGCCCGACCCGGTTCTGCCGGTTACTCGAGGCGTCGGCCAGACAGTAGCTCTCCTTGCGTCCTTGTGCACATGCTCAGAGACTGAGCTCTCTAGCATGGGGGGGGAAACCCAAACGTACGCTCGGCTGACCTGACATGCGAGATCCGAGCGTGGAGGCTTTTAACTTTCCCTTCTTTTTCCAAGACGCCACAGCTGCCCTTTTTTCTGGCTAATTCCACAATTAGCCAAGAACGTTTCATTTGTTTTGACTGATTTTTTTTTTCGTTTGTTTGTACCCTCTCGTTGTCCCGCCCTCGCCATTGCTCAGTAGTTTAGTCGCACCGTTGAAAGGACTCCAGCAAACCAAAGACTGAACGAAAGAGTGTCCCTTTAAGATGACGGAGCCAATATGAAGGCAAAGCTGGATTTATTTTTTTCTTCCTCAGTGTACTTTTTTTTTTTTTTGGGACTAGTGCAAACATGGCAAAGGAAAATGATGATGTCAGTCACACTGGAGTGGTCAATGTTTTTCGAGAGGTTCCGCTCGTCAGCCGAGGTATGAAACGATATTTCGGTGTGTCCCCGCGCCTTTCCCTCTCTCTTGTTCTGTCACAAAGTCTGTCTCTGGTTCTCGTGGTCTGTTTCCTCCGTGCTCGTGTCATAACTCAAACCTCCTCCCGTCATCCTTTTTGGTCAACTTCTTCTGGCTGAAATATGGCTTCCCCGGGATGCTCGTTATATGTTTGAGTAACTTGTTGTGGTGATGATATTTTCTATATTTAAAACAAACAAACAAAAAAAGAATACTGTGGACTTTTAGGTGGCTTAACATTTTATAGGGATGTCATATTTGTAAAAGTATACGAAAAGAAACTGGGTGGCGGGCTTCATATATTGACTTCTTCCCTCTCTTGCACAGGGCATGTAAAAAAAAAAAAAAAAAAAAAAGGACCTTTTTGAGTCCGTTGAAGCTACGTATGACTTTTTTTTTTGCCGGTACTTGCTTTTTGCGGGACTTCCTGTTCTCGGTTCCCTTGAGGTGGTTTGTACGAGGTGAGTCTGTTGCATGGGAGAACGCAGGGGACTTCTGGTCTAGAGCTGCATGATGTAGGCTGTATGTAATTAAACCCATGTTGGATCCTATGTTCCACGCTACCAGGATAAAAACGTAAAACAACAATGATGCAGGCAGACCTCCAGACTGCCTGATGACTTCCAGTTGTTTCTTATTTGTTGTATACACAAAAATGCACTGAATAAAAAGTTTATATGAAGATATCCTTTTTAAAATGTGTCACGGTTTCTTCTTGGGTTCCCTTCACTGACTATCTCACCTGTTACAATGCGCGCGCTGTACCTTTTCAACTGTAAGCGTGTTACTTCACAAGGTGCTTCAATTTGAAACGCGTCCTGTTGTATGTACAGTGGTACTTCTACTGACGAAATTAATTTGTTCCGGAAGAAATTGCTTAACTTGAAAAATTTTAAGTAGAGACTAGTGACTCTAGAAGGAGTCTAGCCTTCTAGACTCCTATTCATTTAGATTTTTTCATTCCATATGCCTTGCTCATCTTTTTGTTGTAGCACAGAACTTGGATCATTGACATTTTGCGCGATGTCACACAAGAGCGGGCATCAAAGGACGAACGGTTTTTGCTTGTTCTGGCGTCTATTCCAGTCTAAACAAGGACACGTGGGAAGCAAAGCGTAAAATACACTGAACGTTGACTCGCGTTTATAGCAGTAAGACTCCAGCGTCACCACACATATTGTCGCTTGCTCAGGCTTTTTATGATGGCAACCGTGTCACCATGAAAAAAAAATTCTATTATTGTCTGGTTTTTTTCCTCAATGTCAAATGAAAGCCCGATCTTGCATTGCGGGCTGCTGAAAAGTCAAATAGCTAAACCTTTTCCAATGCATTGCAAAAATGTCTCCAAGCAACAGCGTTGCTCATCGCCTAGTATCATAATTAGGAGAATTACATTTGAGCGCTCCTTTAAAAAAAAAAAATGTTTTAAAAGACGGGCTGTACAATCTCAAGGTGGCAATTAGATGACTTGCCGTCGCAAAGACGAGGTGGGAAATGAAAAAAAAGAGAGGTCAGGTTGTGTTAATAAGGTCAGCTCGCTCCGTCTTGTCACGGTGAGGAGCACTTTCACTAATTGGGGGTTTTGTTCATGATGAGTCTCCTCGGGTGGACGGCCACTTGAAATGTCAGCCATGATGAGGGTAAAGGCTGTCAAAATGGATGCAAAAAGGAAGGGTGGATGAGAAGTGTAGAGAGAATGAACGGCAAACATTGAAAGCTTTTTGCCATCTTCGAAAAAAGCAGGCCAAAAGACATTGCATCTCTCTCTTACCGTGATATTAATATTTAATAGGACATTGAAGAGCTTTGTAGTGTGGTCATAGACTTTGTGGTGGAGGTATAGTCGTTCGGACACGCTGTCAATCAACTACCACGACTACGACCAGGAAAAAATGGATCCCTAATATCGTTCTTATGCCTGCACTTAACTACATGTTTGAGATGTCAAAACATATTTGCTAAAAGCCTCCGGTGGCTGGAATGCAGTTACATCCCACCGGGTCATCACAGGGCTTTTCTATGCCACGACAACGAGGCGCTCTAATGAAGCTATTCCAGCCTGACGCCCCAGTCCACATGTTCGCTTTCGAGTCAGACCTAAAAATCAATAAAATCCTATCTTGCTTTTCTGTCTTTCTCCTTGTAATGCGCACGCACTCGAGGTCATCAACGAGGCGCTTTAAAGGAGCGAAGTTGCATTTAGGCATACGGAGATAGCTCACTGCACAGTGTAATTGCGTTTATTGCGAACAAAGGCACGGAAAGTCATGTTCTGGGTTGGGTTACTCATGCTGGAGGCCTAAGCGTGTCATTGGGCTTGTTTTAGCCACGCCCAATAATCGAGAAAACTGACATCGTAAAAAACAATGAATTCTCTATCGCCAAGTTTGCATCAGAAACGATCTTCAAACATTCCTAATATATTTCAAAGCAAAACTGTGAGTTCACTTTCTAGGGTGTTTAAAAAAGAAAGTTTAAGATTATTCACCCAAGGAAAATCTATTTTTCAACAAAAATGAAAAATCCAGTTTTGCGGAAGAATTAAAGTGGTTATTGATTTATTTTTTATTTTTTGCTGACACCTAAACAGATGGCGGTGCCATCGTGTTCGAGGGAATAATAAATGAGTCAAAACATAGGTGGGAGATGTGGCCCGTGCACATCCTCATCGTAGCCCCGCCCCCTCCTCAGAAGGGTTGCAGACAGCGGAGGCATCAATTTGGTCTTTGGAGACTGCCTCATTACGCCCATCGCCAGCAGAGACAGGAGAACTAATAGGCTGCTGTAATATAGGCCCAGATATGAGCTACTTCATCGTTCATGTCGTTTGACATCTCCCGACTCCCTTCATTTCCTTTCGCCCATCTCTCTACTCCATTCATTAGGCGGCGACAGTACAATTCATTACAGAGTCTGCCTGCTTCAAACACGGCGATGTGAACAAGCGCCCGCTCCGCTTCTCTGCCGCATCTTTCTCCCCAAACTCTCGTCTGACTCTTTCATCCGGACACTGTTGAGTCCCCACCTATGAGCAAATAAAAAGCAGCTACAAATATAAAGGGTCGCACGCTGACGCGCACACACGCATGCATGCACACACCCACACACACAGCTCGGATAATGGATGGATGAATAGTTAAGTACAACAGAGTTCTTAGGTTGTTTTTTTTTTCTTTTTTTTTTTATGTTTAAGATCTGACATCAGCGGATCGTCACCATCTGCAGGACCACCTTGAGCAAAAATACTTTCACACCCAGATACGGCGCCAGCTTTCTCAGAGCGAGGAAATATGCGAGCCAGTTGCGAAAAGGCAGTCGCTGGTGTTTCGTGTCCTCAGATTAAGGAATACTTAACATGGGTATCATGCACAAAATGACTGTCACTTTATTTGCGGAAGATTTCATTGGGGAGTGCTTCTGAGCAAGACTTAGCGCTTGCATAAAGTGTGATTGTACTCAAAACAAAGGTTAACATTTGTCACATAGAGCTTGAAGATGAGAGAATGAGAAGGAACAGCTCCTGATCCAAAGCATACCACATCATATGCTATAATTGGTTGCAGGGCCTTCAATCAAACGTTGCTTGTTTTATTTCAAATCCAATGTGTATTTAATCCATCTGATCATTTTCTTGTCCACTTTCTCCTCACAAGGGTCACGAGTCATGCTGAAGCCTATGCCAGCTGTCTTCGGGCACTAAGCGGGGGACACCCTGAACCGGTTGTCAGCCAATCGCAGGGCACACAGAGACAAACAACCATTCGCACCCACACTCACACCTATGGACAATTTTGAGTGTTCAATCAACCTGCCATGCATGTTTTTGGAATGTGGGAGGAAACCGGAGTACCCGGAGAAAACCCGCGCAGGCACGGGGAGAACATGCAAACTCCACATAGGAAGGCTGGAGCTGGAATCGAACCCGATACCTTTGCAGTGTGAGGTCGACGCGCTAACCACTCGATCACCGGGCGCCGTGTGTATTTCAATTCATTGCAAAACAAATATTCAATGAAATACAAGTAGCAGCCATGCCGCTATTTGACCCCCTGTCAGAATTACTCCCTGCACACACTGTAATCCACTAATCCAAACTCACCGTCACTTATTATTGATTATGACGTCGAACTGATGACTTCTTGGCCTAGGTGCACTTTGTAATAGAGGTTAAGGTTAATGAGAACTTGACCAAAGATATTAAGGTCATAGGTTTCATTTTTTTTTCTCAATTGTCACTGGAGATTTGTTGAACAAAAAGTAATTTTCCACCTGCCAGTCAAGAAGTCAATGCGTGAAATTACTGTCATGATTAAAAAAACAAAAGACGCTATTCTATACCTTCGAGCCTCTAACAAATGAAACCCGTGTTTAAACAAGGAGAGCATTTAAATGAATTTAATGGATCGTCTTCAACTGAGACCTCTGACGGGCGCAGTCGGCAACTCGATTGTTATTAGTGGGAGAAAGGCAAGGATGGGAATCGATGAAGGAACGATGTTATCCCAGACGAAATCTGACAATCATTCTTATTTTTAGCGCACGGATATTAAGCGAGACCTTAATTTCCTGTAATAGTGCTCGTCCCTCGAATAGGCCACAAATGGGTGCATCACGCAAATGAAACAAATAAATGCCTCCCGCCAATATTGTAGGTGCCTCTCCCATCTGCAAAATAATATAGAAACGTTTGGGAATCACTCCGTTTGAAAGGAAAAAACACACTTTTCTTGACCACATAACAATGTCAAGATTGTATTTCAGATTAATAATAATTTCTTCAGAAGAAAAAAACGTGCCTTTTGAAAAAATAAAGACTTCTAAGTGACATCAAACTTTTGAACGATAGTGCGTATGCGGTATACGCAGGAGGGCCAGACTCGAGATTCCGACCTGGAACTCAGAACAGTGAAGCCGACATGCTAACCACTTTGGTTTGAAGTTTTATGATTATTATTCTCATTTTTTGTAAGAATAATAAGAATAAGAAAACCTTTAATCGTCTCACAATGGAGAAATTGCCAAATTATGAAAGGAAGAGAGTAGAACAAAACGTATAGGAGCTGATGTAAAGGCATTCATTATTCAGTTATGTTTAGTTACTTTTTTTTTTTATTATTTTTTTTTTAGAAAATGACATGCTTTTATTAGTCTTAGTTTTAGTTTTTTTGACAGAGTATTTGTGGAGTGCTTATGTTTTTATTAGTTTTAGTTTTAGTTTTTTTGACACTTCGCATATTTGTGGAGTGCAAGATGAAGAAAAGGGTTGCTATGTATTGCAGAATAAACTACATAAAGAAGCATTTGTTTTTATTTTATTTCATGATGGGACAGATTTTTTTTCCCCAAGTTTACTTTGCTCCTTTTCTTCGTTTCCATTAACAAAAATAATCTTATGCGTCGCAGATTGAAATCATTTTTTCTTCAAGTACAAGATTTAGTGGAGGGTTGAGTTCACGTGTTTAGCACCAAGTGCTGCACATTTCCATTGTGATTCCATAGCCAGAAAGTGTGAATTTTTTTTTTTTTTTACATGAACTAATTAATTAAGGAGTGCAAATAATAAGCACGAGGCCGTCCAACTGCGGCCAACGGAGGTAAAAGTCTGCAGCGCCAGAGTCTGTCGGCTCCATTAATGATGCATGCATCCCTGAAGGATTATTAAATGTCAGAGGCAAGCATCTTGACGCTCTTCC